TCCTGCCGCCTCCGCACCTCCGCCGACGATCACTCACTCAGTACATTGTTTTCTTCATGTCTCTCTTCGCATAGTCTCGACCAGAAGATTAGCTGAGAAGCGGTCAATGCTCTGGATGAATGTCTCTCGTTTCTGTGTGCGTCCGAGAGCCGCTTATCAGTTTCACACAATATGATATACAGCTCATCTCTGACACATCCCTACCGTACACCGAGTCCTTTCTGTACATCCTGCTGTTCTTCAAGAGGGCCGCTGTAGCGATGGTTCTTTTGGGATTATGTTATCGGGCCAGATCCCCTCATGTTTCGCGTGATCTCTAGCTTCTCAATCCAAAGGTATGGGATCGAGCCGATACTCTCCCTTAGTGTGTATACGCTCGTCGACACTGCCAATAAATACCTCTTATCAGCGATTTTTCGATTCGAGTCGTGCGTACTAGCAAAAAAAGGCATTCATCTGGATCCATGGTTCTGTTCAGTGAACAGTCAATACTGGTAAAAAAAAAAAACACGCCCTCCCAGTGTAAAAAAAAACGCCCTCCCAGTCCTGACAGGACTGGGAGGGCGTTTTTTTTCCAGTATTGACTGATCAGAATGAATCCGTTTTTGTCAGTGACGAGCCTACAATTCTACAAATCCCTGATCAACAGGCTGATGTGCATGTTCTTGTTGGCATAAATTAGCTTTTTGACAGTTTTTTGTGGATAAAAGGCAATCCTCTTTGGAGTGGTATCCCAAATCGTATTAACCTCTAGTTAAGAAGGTTGGAGTCGACGGTCAGCACACAAGTCTAAGTCAAAAGGACCTCTAACCTCCAGACTGTACATAAAATTATTGGTTATTATTATCAAGCGATCGTTAACTACGTATAATGTTTGTTGAGCTACGCCGTTTGCTTATTCCGGTGCCATTTGTACCCAAATCAGTGGGTTCGTGTGCGACTACTTTCTCTTCTGGCCGGTTTAGCAGCTACCGCATCGCCCCTGTCCTAAGCGAACGCCCATGTTCGACGTTTACGTGTAAGATTCGTAGCAAATCTCACAATTAGTGCTAAAAAGTAAAAATTACCCCAAGCTGATCCAGTTGAATGTTCCGTTCGGGAAAGACCTGCCTCCATTATTTTTAAAGTGATCCGCTGGTGAGAGCCGCTAATAGCATTTAGATTGTACAGCTCTAACTATTTCGCTTACGCTCTTCGTATTGCCTCTTTATCAACCCCCCCCCCATCAGCTTATGATTAGCTCGCGGAAGGACACATTTACGTGCAGCCATCTGTTTTAAATAAAGCGCTGCCATTGGCCATAATAAAAGTTCGCTTAGGACAAAACTTCGCTTAGGACAGGGGCAATGCGGTATGCAAGCTCGGCATTTCGGTATCATCTTTGCAATCATCTATGTCGTGATTCTGTGGGGACAACCACTTTTTATCAATCCAGTGGGATCAAAAATCCAGATATGTACCGTTTTAATGATACACAGCGTGACATACGCTGTATGTATTAATTCTTAAGTACTGGTATGCCATGATTGCGAAGCTGTACTGCATTGGACGACGTCCACGACAGAACATGCCAAACACATGTATTTACTGTTTCAGCACACAGCAAATCATTTGACTTGACTTCTGTATACTTTTGACCTTCTGAGTGTCGCAATAAGACATAATCGACGATTAGAGGTCACAGCAGAAAAGGGACCAGCCGCGCTTCGCTTGGCTGGGCGAGCGAACCGCGGCGGTTCGCTGCGCTCGCAATATGGAGATAGAATGTTCTGGAAAGTGTAGTGCTCGGCTCGCTGGTGAGCTCAGCGCTGGGCCCGCCTCGCACCCGCTCACCTTAGTTGGCGCCGCGGCTATGGCACCCACCTGGGCGACCAGTGTTGGCAGTCGGGGACTAACTGGCCTGGTCAAAATTGGGTTTTAACAAGCCAATCGGCCATTTTGATAAAGGCCACGGCCATTGGATTATATGATTATACAGGTTTAAGCTGGTTATAAAGCTTGGTAGGTTTCGCTTTACACTACGATTTAGCAAAGAAATATAATATTTTAATAACATCGGGTGTTAAGGCTTGGAACCCTTATATGCCAGCTTGGCACGCTGGAGAATGCATAACGCCGTCCATGTATGTCACCACTACCGCGTGGGACTGATGCACGTGCTTGACAGGGACTGAGTGATGGTCGCTCCTCGGCTACGCCGAGTGGTGACCATTGTGATAAAGGAAGTAGTCGTAACAACTGTAAGTTGCAGGGACTGAAAGTCCAGCAGGGGAGAAAACCGAGTGCTGCTGCTTGCTCTTGACGGCGCAAGTTGTCGAGTGTGTAGCAGCACACGGAAAAACCCCGGTAACATATATTGGTAGGATTAGCAGTAGGATGGGGCTGGCGGCTCGCCAGCCAATGGTCCGTCGAAGCCCGGCTTCTGGACGCGAGCATCGCGTCCTGGAGGCACCTGAGCCTCAGGTTTGAGCTGGACGCAGTCCTGGCTCTTCCTCCACACTTCACACTCCCACTTGATCTAGTCGAAGCGCAGCTTCAACATGATCACCTTGTAGAGCTCACCACGATGTTCTTGGCATCTTCTAGCTGCGCTGCAGCACGACGCTTCGTCCTTGGTAGCGCTCTTCCTCCTTCTTGTCCTTCGCATGCATGAACGGGTAGTAGTAGCTTGCATTCACGCATGGCGATGATGTTTGGCTCCCACTGAACGAGCTGAGCCTTGCTGACGGTCGATGCGCAGCACCTTCATCCCATCACGGCAATGTTCGAACTTGTCCTTCGGCAATGGCTTCGTCATCGCGTCGGCGATCATGTCGTCGGTGCCAACATGGCGAATCCGTAGCTGCTCGTTCTCCACGAGGTGGCGCACCAAGTGGAACTTGTTCATAATGT